CGAAAAAATACCCTGAAGAGAGCCAGCGAGGCGCTGCAAGCCCAGGTGAATGCAATAGCGAGAGAGATCGACAGTCTGGAGGTAGGTAAGATTAAATTACAGGACAGAACAGACTACCAAAAGGACTAGAGTTGCCGCAATAATCTGCGTTTCACCGGTATCCCAGAAGAAAGCGGCAGGAACTGGCAGTCGTGTCAGTCCCTCCACAAAATTCAAAATGCCCCCTTCAAGACATTTGTCCACGAGGATTTCTGCCCTGGAACCATCCAAGCTCGCAAAGACCAGAAGGCGCAGGTGAAGCAGGCCCGGACCGAAGGCAAAACCACTTGCTTTATTTACAGGATGCTTGTAATAACTGAACGTAAATGCACTCCTCCCGATCCCGACTTGATGCTCCCTCTCCCTACCCCTGGTTCTGCGTCTGGGGCCGGATACTCAAAACAACCCGTAAGTTGTAGCCGCCTTACTACATTGTACCTTACGAACTCCTTACTATATTGTAAGTGACCCATACTCAAAAAAAAGAAAAAGAAAAAGAAAAAAAAACAATGTAGTAAGCACATTGTAAGGCTAATGTCAACATCGTAAGTTAATTCCTTAAGCTGTCAAGAGAGGGCAGATCGGTAGCTAAATGACCAATCAGCAGTCAGCCTCGTAGACGTAACAGCCAATAGAAAACAACAAATGGAAGGTCTAACTCAAAAGAAAAGAAGACCAAATTTCTCAGATGAAGAGATGTTGGCCCTAATAGAAGCTGTAGCAATGAAGAAGAATGTGGTTCTAGGTAAATTAGATAACAGAAGAACTGCACAAGTGAAAAATAACGCCTGGGAGAGTGTGACTAAGGAGGTGAATCTTGTCGCTCGCGTGCCGAGAAATGTGAATGAAGTGCGTATGTCTATATATATACATATATGTATATATATAAATATATATACACATACATACCTTTTGACGAACATTTTTAACAAATGGAAAATAATCTCATATTTTTGGTTTAAGGCTCTAGTGAATCACAGAATAAACAAAAGAGATTAAACAAACCCATTACTTATTTCTCACAGATCCTGGAATCAATATTCAGCTAAACTAATTTTCAGTAAGACGAGCTCTGACTGCACGACCTGTGCCACGTTCAGCAGCTTTTGCTGCAATGTTCACCTCGCCATCATTTTCTGCAATCTCCTGCGGAATTGGTATCCTTCGTTTCACACAATAATTATGGAGAAGCAGGCAGGTAATTGCAATTTTGGAGCACTTAACGGGATCACACTGAAGAGTTCTTCCAGAATGATGCAGACACTTGAATCTTGACTTCAATATGCCACATGTCTGCTCTATGATCCCACGTGTTCTGGTGTTACTTCTGTTGTAACGGGTTTCTCCTGGTGTTCTTGGATTCGACAGAGGCGTTAAAAGGTATGGCTCAAGGGGATAGCCACTATCACCTGACAGAAAGAAATAGAAATATCAAGGAACTGTTTCGTAATTCACTGTGCCTTAAAGAGTTTACAAAAGTTATGACAAGTTTTGTGAATATTTCTCACTCTATTAAGTTTATATCTATACTAAGCAAATCAACTTTAGATGTGTGTGTGCAAATTTAAAAATATTGCCACCTCACTAAATTCTCTTCATTGTCTAAAATAACTATTCAAAATTTAAATAGTTCACTAATCCACATCTAACATTCATTCTGTTTGCAAATTAACCTCTTATGGGAAATGTCTAAATCAAATGCACAACTATACTAGCATATTATTTGCAAATAACTGAGGTTGCAGAAACTAAAACTTCAATTTATTTTTACAATCTGGTACGACCATGAAATTGTCAATCCACTTAATAATTTTCTCCAAATTCCCCCGTCTACAAATCGAGTACGTAGTGCACAGTTGGACCAAATAAATGCATCATGAGTACTGCCAGGATATCTTGTGTTGTAACTTATTATTAGTCCATCTGCATTGCAAACTACCTGTAGATTTAATGAATGAAACCTTTTCCTGTTAACATAAATGTGTTCATCAACATATGGTGCTTTAATTGGAATGTGAGTACCATCTATGGCTCCTATGACTCTCGGAAGGTTTGCAAATCTTGAAAAATCTTGGACAGTCTTCATTAAGTCATTAGCACTTGATGGAAACTTTATTTCTATTCTTGCCTTTTCTGTCAACACTCTGGTCACTGCTGCAATTATCCTGCTTACACTTGCTTGTGTTAGTCCACATGAGTCCCCAATCACACTCTGAAATGTTCCACTAGCATAAAAGCGTAAGGCCACAAGCACTTGTGTGTGGGTTGGCACTGCGTGTGACCTCCGTGTTCTTCTCAAATATGGGTCCAACACCTCACAGAGCCACAGAATTTCATGTCTTGGAAATCTATAGTACCGCAATAACTGATTATCATTAACATGCAAAGGATCCAAGGGGTCCCTATAATGTCTTTCACGTTGTAAAGCTCGACCTTGAAGATATGCAGCTACCAACTCCATGTTGTGTCTGTCAACACTGTTGGCACTTAGCTTGCAATATCTTTAAATCACAATAATTAAGCAAGGAAGGCAAATAAAACATTAAATATTTAGATTTCCCAGTGTATTAAATACATAAAACGACAGTATGTGGTCAAATAAAGGCTATATAAGTTATAACGACTATGTAATCGAGATATAAACAGTCACTATATCCGGTTTGAAACCCTTACAAGCGCTCCCGAGCAGTTGTATCTTACAAGGTACTTTACAATGTGTGACGTCATAACATGGCGGCTATTTTTGTTTTGAGTATGGGCTCGGAGGAGTTACAACATTGTAACTGCTCCGATGCGAGATGCAACACTGTAAGCTGTTTTGAGTATCCCGCCCCTGGGCTGCAGCTGCCCACCCAGCTCGAGCCTCGCCAACCTCGCGGCTCCCTGCTGGACCCACCCCCTCCCTGCTCCAGCGCCAACCCCTCGTCACGACCCACCTTTACAGCAGCAGCTAAGACACTTGGAGCTCCCGAATACAGCAGGTCTCCGCAGCCGTTGCAGAGCAGTGTCTCTTTCCCCCTTCTGGGCTAACGGCTTCGATGTAAACAATATTAAGTAAGAGTGTCCTACAGTGTTTACAGTACATACATTATATTGTATGGCTCAAAACGGCTTTACCATAAAATTTCCCATTTTCTCTTGTAAATGTTGACTTTCTGAATCTCTTTTCCAATTCGGAATATTTTCCTGGCCTAACCTTAGATAACCTTTTTTATTAGATTTTTTTTTTCACCGGGTGACAACAACCAGCAAGTTGGCCATGATCCGGATTCGTTCATTCAATCCCACCTGTCTCTATGTTTTTCGTGGCCCTTCTCTTACCAATTAACTGCAGTGTGATACGAAGACTCAAATCTCAATATCTGAAGCTTACCTGAGAATATTACTGAATATGAACTATATATACTGCGAAATTATCACGCATATTTTATAGATGTTCTTGTAGTAGTAGAGGTGCATCACTGCACATAATAAAAATAATCCTGAATTATCATTTCTTGAGGATCAACTATATCTGTCTTTGCAGAAAGTACTACCACTTTTTTTCTTTTCTTTTTTTTTTCTTAATAAAACAACTTTACAAACGACCTAAAAGTAATACTGACCCGGTCATTACTAAAATGAACCAGATAATAACTATTGCTTCTCAGGAAAAGAAACCATGCATTCTTTTGGGGATATTAACAAGAGTTTATTAAACAAGAACTCTGATCCTAAGATACATGCTCTGATATCCGTTCTTAACTCTTATTTGTATTTTACCACTGTTACAAACCCAAAAAGAGTCCAAAGTAAATTGGCAACACAATTGAATCACTTATGGACTAACTGCACTAGCGGCACAGCTAAAAGTGGTATCATCTACAGCAATACCTCTAACCCTTTTCCTATTTATACTATATTCAAATTAGACTCGCCATACCACACATACTATAAAAAACATACACTTTAAAGATTTTTCAAATGATACTATTCAGAATTTCCACTCACCTTAAGAATGTTTTCTGGGATATAGTATATGCCTCATCAGATCCAAATATTGCCTATGAGAATTTCGTATCTATTTCCTTCAATCCTTCGATAGATTCTTCCCAGTAAAGACAAAGGTGGTAAAGCTGAAATCATGCCAAAAGCCATATATCAACAATGAGATATCAGAGAGAAATCAGATGAAAAAAAAGCTAAACGGCCAGTCATGCATCAATTAATATCTTTGAAATTACCGAATCAGCACATATTACCTTGGAAATTAACAATGATTTGTGTAATATTAAGAAAGAAAGAAAGAAAAAAATGGTTGGCCATCAAAATGGGGATCCCCAAATATTTCTTGGACCCTGGTCATGACAATATCCCCATGTTTATAATCAAGCAGGTTCTTCCAGCCATACTGAAGCCCATGAAACATATTATAAATAGCTCAATGAAAACAGGAATATTTCTAGGAAAAAAATAACGAAAGTTCATCTCTACTTACAGCAGGAGAGAGTGTAAGGTATCCGTGGGAGGAGCCCTTTTCGTCACACCGACAAAGTGACGATGCCCCGTGAAGCGGGATAAAAGGCATAAGGGCCAGGATAGGGGGGGCCTATTTACTCCATAAAACAAAACAAAAACTAAAGCAAAGGTGAAACAAAAATCTCTTACAGGCCCTCATGAGAAGAATGGGTTGTCTGATGCATGACTGGCCGTTTAGCATAAGTGCTTATATAACTATCACTGCACATAAGACTAAGTAGCATGCCCAGCTTCTCCTAACATTGGCAAGAATAAGACTCAGATATAACCTTTCTCGTTCCTGTCCTTCGGCAAATCACTGTAGGATCCATGAGTAGCACACAAACACACGTTCGAACTGACACTTCTTTATTGAGCACAAATGGTCCCCTTATATAGGCGGGAAGGGAGACAAGTCATACATCGACTTTCTTATTAAAATTATTTAAAAAACAAGATTTATACAGGGATCAGTAATGATTGTTATAAAATAAAAAACATCCACTTTAAGTTTTAAAAATAAAATATAGAAATAATAGAGGTAAAAGAAAGTGCAGATACAAATATTTATGGTATAAAGCCAAGTATAAAAAAGGCATCAATTAACCGCTAAACATGGACACAAAATAAATGGACAGTACTAATCATCATGTTAAGAGTAAAAAGACATTCAAATACATAAAATCTGCCCTGAGTAAAAATAGTGAAATATGCCACGAAACTTTTATAATTATCAACTTAAAATAACAAAAAAGAACTAAATTGGCCTTGTATTACTAAAAATAGAATGAATAAAAATTGAAACAAACAGATCTCATTTAACAAAACATTCAAATTCTATACTACAGACACGAAAAATAAAAAGTAAAACTGAGCGGCAGTTCGGTATCATGAAGATACGCGAGTCTAAAAAGCCCGAGATCAGTACGTAAACAAAGTAAACAATAATATCCTGGACTGAACTCTACATGTTGTTTACATGGTTTACGCCTACAGATCATGAGAGGCGTGTACATAGAATAATGAAAAATAAGTGGAAGTGTCAGGCGATCCGTCTGCTGTGGCTCCTCCAGGATCCTACGATTTCCCGTGGGCCAGAGATAAGGTCAGGATATAAGGTAAAGGGTTCAATTAGGGTAATAGAGACGTAGAAATAAGGGTCTAGATAAGGGAAAGGTAGGGAGAGATCAGGGATGAAGGCAGATAGAGATAAAGTACAGACAAGAGAAAGGCTAGCATAGAGAGGGTAGATCCAGGGAGGGTAGATCTTTAGTATAGCTCCCATAGAATAAAGGGCAAGAGCAGTGAGAAAAAAAAGGGGGAAAAGGTAGAAGGAAGGGTAGAGCAACATTATATAGAAAGGGAAAACAGATAAAGATGAACAAACAAAAGAAAAGCTTTGAGACTGAGCTAGGCTAGCATAAAAGAAAAGTTAAAATCATGAACATCAGTGCTAAAGATTTGTAGAACAGAAGTATGAAGAGAAAGGAGAAATTAAGGGATAGAAGGAAAACAATGACAGAACTAAAGATAAGACAGAAAAGGAAGAAAGGAAGAGAAAGAGGGGGAACAGGAGTGAAAATGTAGGTGAGTGAGAGGGAGAGAGAGAGAGAGAGAGAGAGAGAGAGAGAGAGAGAGAGAGAGAGAGAGAGAGAGAGAGAGAGAGAGAGAGAGAGAGAGAATGAGAGTGAGAGAGTGAGAGAGGAGGAAGAGCAGCAAGGGTGAGGGAGTGGGAGAGAGGAGGAGGAGGAGGAGGAGTAGCAAGGGTGAGGGAGTGGGAGAGAGAGGAGGAGGAGGAAGAGTAGCAAGGGTGAGAGAGATGGAAGCAAGGTGGGGGGGGGGGGGGTTAAGGAAAAAAAAAAGAAAGGGGGGGGGGGGGGTAGAAGGGAGGCCTGGAGGCCTCACAAGAGGTTTCAGCAGAACAAATTTCACTTAATTTAATGCATATTTTCTAATGAACATGGAATAATAACTTGCTCCCAGTATGGCTTCAGAGAAAATAAATATACAGAATCGGTCATTGTTCACTTGACAAGTAATATTATCAAAGGCTTCGATGTGAGAAATTTCGCTCTATGAGTATTTTTGGATTTGTCAAAAATATTTCACACAGTCAAAAAAAAAGAAAAAAAAAAAAGAAGGAAAAAAAGAAGAAAAAACAACAACATACAAATGACGCCTTCGTCCAGTTAATAATATTTAATGAAGTTAATGAAATGTAATGCTAAAATGTAACGTAAATACTGTTGCTGCTTATCTATTTAAAAAAGTTCAATACCAGAGCAAACAAAATGTATATTGTAAGAAATAATAATCTTCTGACTGCACTATTTAAGAAATCTCTAGTCACAAACAAGTATCTCGTATCACGGGCCTTTACTCTGAAATGGTTTTCAGAAAATACACAACATTATTTGTTATTCCAATATGTTCTCCAGCATGGCAAATGTATAATTGCTATATACGATCTTTAATTCATTACTTCATTTCTTTAGCATTAAAACTGTCACCTATGTCGGTTTTGTCATACGATGACTACTGATAATGCTAGATGTTCTAGTAATAAATTTATATTTAGTTTAGATCAAATATGTATCATATAACTGATAACTATTATATATGTATATATCCCTACGTGGATATTCCTCCTCCACCTCCTCTTCCTACCCCCCCTTCGCCGCCGCCGCCTCCTCCTCCTCCTCCTCCTCCTCCTCCTCCTCCTCCTCCTCGTCCTCCTCCTCCTCCTTCTCCTCCTCCTCCTCTACCCCCCCTCCTCCTCCTCCTCTACCCCCCCTCCTCCTTCTCCTCCTCCTCCTCCTCTTCTCCTTCTTCTTCTTTTTCTTCCTCCTCCTCCTCCTCCTTCTCCTCCTCCTCCTCCTCCTCCTCCTCTTTCCCTCTTCTTCCTCCCCCTCCTCTCCCTACTCCTCCTCCTCCTCTTCCTCCTCTTCTTCTTCCTACTCCTCC